TGGAATAGTCACAAAGCTGACAGCATTTTTCACAATTTCCATCGTTTTTCCATCATAACAAGAAAAATCTGAACATTTACTACTCTGTGCAATGTATCTTATATCTGAACATAATGTATAGAGAAATCACATATACAAAGGCGATTCTCTCTATGCCCAGTATCAATTTTTCCAGGACAGTGGGGTTAGGCTTCAAGATCTGTGTACTTCAATTTTTGTTACTGTGGATGATTCAATAAGTCATGTTTTCTGGATAACATATGCTATAAGGATTTCTGATGGGAAAAGAGCCCTGGTGAATGCTGTTAAGCATATTAATAGAAATCAGCAAATTATTTCAAGATCACTTCACATTTATTTGACTTTGATACATAACAATTCAAATCAGTGCGTGGCCTGGAGTTCTGCATTAAGTGAACAGAATTCATATCTTAGATAGTTACCAGGTGTCACCATTGAAGGACTTTTTGTCACCTCTGGCTTTGATGACAAGTCAAAATGTTGGATTTTCTACTGCCTCGGTGACAATTGAAACAAAAGATCTTAATATGGATATTTTAAAATTCAGAGCAAAGGGGGTATCTTCACCAGGCCCGCTAATACTGGGTGGACCATGTTGCTGGGGCCACCAAAAACCAAGTACTTCCGAGTATAAAATTAAGGTAAGTACCGTATTTTGCGGTCCATAAGACGCACCGGACCATAGGACGCAGGGTAAAGTATATTTGGGTTCCCTGAAGGATGAAAAAGATGAAGAAAAACAATATCTACTGCTTTTTAAAAAATATTTCCTAATTATTATAAACTAATGTGATGTACTTTAAACAAATAAAAAAAGTATCTTCCTGTCCTAACAATCGATTGCAATCCTATCCTCACACCCAACATGTTGGTAAATAGCTTTTTACTGTGCTTCCTTCTCTAGTTGCCCTGAAAGCTGAGAATAATTCTTCGCTTCTGCCTCAACTTGTTTACTTCTTTTCTCCCCAAACCTCACCTTCTTACATGCTATGTCGCTCTTTTTCACCTACTGCCCCACTCCTGTTTCTCCAACTTTCTAAACTCCCTTCCTCTTCTTGTGTATCCTTGGGTATGAAATCTCTCTAGAGTAATACACTCCAGTGGGTACGTAAAGACCGACAACGGCTGAACTTTAAATAATATACAAGATGGTTATATTACTGATCTAAAATAATTATGGTATATGAATGGGAGGGGTTCTCTTTATTTAGTATGTTGCAAAATATCATGGCACTTGTGTAATCTACAGTATATATACAATATTTTCCTTTACAAATTCCCGTTTCTAGAAGCATACAATTTACATTCTGTACATTCCGAACTCAGCTTCATGGTCTAGAAATCAGCATGGCATCATATTCTGCTTTCTGGTGGTCATGTATCATACTGTGCAGCTCTATCTCTTTATAGAGCTTCAAGAACAAAATAAAAAGCTCCATAAATACAGAGGCATAAAAGAATCTATCAGTGTCACAGATGGTAACCAGTTTCCTTGTATTGGTTTAAGCTCTGTCGCTTAATGAAAACTTTACAACAAACTATATTTTCCTAATGTCTCTTCATTTTCCTTGCCAAGCATTTTCCAAGACCATAGCTACCGGAAGTAATATGTTGAAATAATAGGACACTTCAGGGAAACTCTCATTATTACAAAGGAGAAGAAGAGAAATTGTAGACTTAGTGCCACTCCCTAAGGGCAGAAATCATGTGGCCATTAGCAGCGCACTTCAGAATTACTATCATATATAACATTTCCCTTTTACAGATTGTTTCCCTACTAGGATTAGTGCCCTTACGCAGCACCAATAACTACTAATAGCCCTTACTACTTGAGGTTAATTCACCAGGTTACTGTGTATTGTGTAATTTCTCTCACGATTTGACAAGTTATGTGCCTGCTGCTTAATGTTGCTTGTAATTGGGTTATTTGCCAAATGCTAAAATGTAGATTACAATATTGAAATGCAGATTGAATTATATGTAGAAAAATAAAAAGGTCAGAAAGACTATTTTTTTATAGAGCAAATGAAGATCAGGAAATTATTTTTGTAACCTTCAAACAACTTCAGTTGGGCTTACTGAAAAAATGTAGCCTTGTGGCACAATAGGACCTTTTGGTGAAATCTTTCAGCAATAAGTCAACACAACCACGTGGCCAAAGCTGTTCAGGTTGTAGGCATCGATCATTGTAACTTGTAGACGGCAGAGTGATTATTTAAAAAATAAGGATACAATACAGATATTGTAGTATCATCCCACAAACCATCTGCCTATGTAAACCTAGCATTGTTACCATACATTTAGAAACCTATTTGTTGTATTCTGCATTCTGCTTTGGTTTTTAAGAACCCGAACAGTGCATACACACTTCTGCTATCCTCAATGACTCACAAGAACCACTTATTGTGACATGGGTCTTATTCAGCTTAACAATTAATGCAGATGTGCATCTATGAGGTAATGAGGAAAACATGCTATTATAGTGGACCTTAAAGACTAATACGGAGCTTCATTGTCTCAACCAGCGTTTCTTAACCTTTTTTCAGTCATGGCACCCTTTAAAAGTATACAAAGGTACCCCCGTCTGAAATGTAAAACGGTCAATGTAAACATGTTAAAAAAATTACATGTGATTCCTCCAAAATCTATACCCTTATCTGATATAGGGCTCTTGTATGAATTTTAAGAGGGGACCCATGCAAAAATGCAAAAAAGCGAGGTTCTCCCTTTACATTAGAATGTCCCCCATTTTACACCAGAATCCCCCCTTTCACATCAGAGCTCACCTTCACATCAGGAGTCCCCCTGGACATCAAGATGTACCACTGGGGAAGCCAGAAGGCAACGACACACTGGTTGAGAAAGGCTATTCTCAATTATCATCTGGAAAGCTGCAATTTATGGCAGTAACTAGCAACTGGTAGTTGACCAGACATACAAGGATCTGTAGTTTGTCATCAGTTTAAAGAATGCAGGCTTTTGTATGTCATTTTGAATAAGTAAGCAACAGCAACAGGCAAAAGAATAAGGTCCATCGTCAGTATTTTCTACACCAATAGCTTCTAGACATTTTTTCTGTATATGTAAAAAGCAACTGTGTCTGCAACAAGGATATGTTTTATCATTGATAGCCTGGAGCCAGGCAACATCTAGGATTAGGACATGGAAAGGCTGTGCAATCTAGACTCACTGGATGTCTGAAGTGATTACAGGTCGATTTGGTTTGCAATAAATTGAACCAGTGAGGATAAAAGTAAGGAAGCTGCCAATGGTGACTCGGAGTTTAAAGATGCAGCCTCCAGATCCTTATCCTGACTTGGGTACCTCGTAGTTTTAAACCTTGAACAAGCATGCAGCCAGTAAAATCTGAAAAGTCTAAGCCTCTGTCCTGTATACCTTGTTCAGCTCAGTGACTTGACAGAGAAACAAGGATCTGATAAAAAATTATCTGAGTCTGATCCTTTTAGAACAAAGTCAGCAGTGCCAGCTCCCAACGTTTATCCTTACAAATTCACTTTAGAGCGATATTGAAGCCTTATTTTTTATTAAACTAATTCAGATGCAATAGAAATAATGTGCAGTCTTTGTTGCTTCTTCTTATATCTCCTTTTAAATTCCATACACATCAAGCTTGTGCCCTGGTGGCTGGAGCTCATAACTGCATTTAGGGTGGCTCCTTTTCCATTGCAAGGTCTCATGCTGTCACCCATTTGTGCACACCCCCAAGATTAGACTACAGGGAGATATGCACACACTTCCTGAACTGACACACACAGGCAGCTAAAGAGGACAAAGAGCACAAAATACCGGTCTATTGTCTCTCCTCCAATGGAACTGATTGGCAGTGGCTCCTGCCACAAGAGGTAGTGTCCTCAAAATTCTATCAATGAGGTGGCATGCATGCACCCTCACGCTGGGGATGATGGGATATTTAATCCCTGTTACTCTAATATTAGGTGTAAGGTGTGCACGCTCCCTGATAAGAAGTTCGGGGAAGCGGCAAACTGAAGCCAGGGGGGATACAGGGGGACAATAATCATATAGTAAGTGTTTCTATTTTGTCTATTAAGGAATTATTTACTTTAATTAAATTAGCAAATGGTTAATTAAGAATTGTTAAAAAAAATTGTACTAAAGAAAGCCTATAACTTTAGTAAAGCCCACACATATTGTGTTTTTCAACAAAGAAGAGCACATACAAATGAAGCAATTGTAGCACCTAGATTTCACTTTACAGAAGCCTTGTTTCCTAAACTGTTGTTGAGGGTTTATGCTTTTTGCCTTAACGTATATATATATATACATATATATATCTAAAGCCAAAACCCTTTTCTAGATTTGGATAGAGTGGAAGAACTTCTTTTTTTGCTGTTCCATTAGGAAGATTTTTCTTTATTTTCTGTCTCATTGGAAGATTTCCCTTCTGTTGCTGTTCTGTTGACAACTCTTGCCCCTCCCTTTTAGATTGTAAGCTCTCACGGGCAGGGCCCTCCTTACCATCTTGCCTTGAATTGTATTGTGATTGTAATGTCTTCCTTATATTGTAAAGCGCTGCACAAACTGTTGGCGCTATATACATCATGTATAATAATAACTTAACATTTTGGATGTTCCCATTACTTTCAGCTGAATTGAGAATGGTGACCAAGACATACACAGAGGGTAAATTTCTCCAGCAAATCTCTCCAACAGAGACAAAGTCATCAAAAATATCCTAACAGAGATTCTAACCTTTACCTAAATATTGGTTTTGCCTTTAGATACACTTTAATGAACAAGCCACTTACTATTACTTTTTCTGCAGTTTTTATGTTCTGTTGTCTTTTTTTTGCTCATTTGATGCATCGTTTTGCACCATGGTTTATGTTACACAATTAACACTATTTAAAACTGAAAAACAAAATGTAAATTTCTGCTCTGTCCCTTTGGTTTTTTGTGTCCACTCTAAAATGTTCAATATGATGTTATAAATGGCTTACCCTTCAAAACAATGTGCAACAGTCAAAACCCATTTTTTCCCAATAAGAACACAGCCACAGATGTGCCCACTTGGTTCACTTTGTAGGGAGCACTGCCAAGGCCATCTCCCAGGTCGGCTGGTTCTGCCACCAAGGATCCTCTTGCTCATTCTGGCTGCAGGGCGACGTCCACAGTCTGAAAAATACATGCCTGGGTCATACCTTCACATATGTTCTACTTTAATATCTCATAAACCACTTTTAGGTACATGCTTGATAACTCAAAATAACATCTCATACTTTATATTGGTGGAATACATGCTCTAACAATTTTTATTGACATTTTAATTGCATTCTTTATACTTTCTTTTATTACCCCTGAACCCTTAAAGTGAAACTCTGCTTTCACTTTAACATACACGTTAATTACTTTACTTTTTTTACATGTAGTTTGGGTAGTTTGTATCTCATGTAGCTCTAATAACCTTCTAAATTTGTAAAGCAGTATTAAACTCTCATACGTTTTTCAATAATAAACCCAATTAAAACAAATATAAATTGTCCAGCAAAGAATTTCTCTACATTTTTGCCCAAGCACTTATAGCTGGCTCCAACTGTCTCAGCTCAGCTTCCCTGAACTTCCTATAGAGCACACGATCACAGAGCAGTCTCCAGCAGCTGTCCTTCTAGTAGTTTGTATGCATTGATGCCAACGTATATCATGATCCAACAATCTATTAATCCGAAGTATGTCAAACTTTGGCACCCAAAGACAACATTCAGTTATGCATTTACAGTCTTGGTACAAGGTTAAAAAATAATTCCCAATAGGGATATGGTTCAAGTTTGTGGTGACGCTGGGTTTGCCGCAAGCTTTGACTGTTCACAGTTTGCCTAAGAGGCGAGCTTATGTGCGTGTTCACCAAAGAGCCAAAAGAGGGCCACCATAATGCATTGCATGACATGAACTGTGGTCAGATCACATAGTATGGTCAATAATGGGGGTTTGGAAATGTGCTAGCCCCTTTCATACAGAAGTCAGCTCTCCCAACATCATTTTGTCGGTGTTTGTTGGAGCTGGATGAGATAGGGACAGCTGTGCATTGCTACCCCCAGAGCTATACAATGCGATTACACATGTGCTGCATTATACAGTACAATTTTGTATAATGCAGTGTGGTGGGCTAGAGAGAGTGGAGTGTACCCCCCTGTTTACTGCACTGTTCACTGCTTTATTACTGTGAATTGTAGTGTGCTGTGTACCATGCTTTGTATTTCTAATGAACAGACCCAACAGTCATTTCTAAGGCTATCTTTTTTGAGTGTGTAAACAATAACTTTTGTTGCTGTAACTGTTGTTCGCTTTGTGTTGTTTGTTTTTGTTTGTTTTTATTTTATTGGGTTTTTTATTTCTTTTTTCTTTAACTTTTTTTGTTTCATCAAGCAAAAAAAATTAAAAAGGGTTTGGTTTATAGTTATTTTTTTTGCTGGGGTTTACTTTATTATGATATTTTTTTTGGAGGGAGTTACATTTTATTTCTATATAAATTTGATAGGGTTTTTAAATAAATTTGATAGGGCTTTTAATTTTTCTTTTTTTGGCAGGGTCAGCAGCATACACGTTTTGGTGGCACAAACAAAGCTTATCTTTGTTTGCCTTTCTTTTCTGAAAGTGGGCATGCTGTACAACCAGAGTACATGGAAGATGTGGTGGAGTGGATAACCAAGCCCTCATCATCCTCCTTCTCCTTCTCTCAGGCACAAAGTTGTGCAGTGTCATCAGCAGCGGCAAATGTGCCCTCAACTTCCTCCTCTTCTACAGGTGCTCCCTTGCAGCAGAAGGGTGCACAGCAATTAATTTTATCAGATATTGAGGAGGAAAGCATCAGGAGCTAAGGAGAAGACAAAAGGCAGGGCTAAACAATTGCAAGTGATGTTTCTGCAGATGCTGCTTACTTTTAATTGGGCTTGAGTCACGGGGAGCATGGGGATGTTGACGTGCTAGACCTTACCTGGATGCTTGAGATTATAGAGGAGTAAAGTGAGAGGCACAACATCAGCAATGTAGGATGTCATCCAGGGGCATCTTGCAGAGAAGTGGAGGGAGCAAGCCACCATATTCCCCCAGATGGTACTGCTCCACAGGTGCCGGCTACTGGCATCACCAGTTCTGCTGCACAGGGCTTACCAGACTGGGCCTTTTTTTGTTACACATGTGCTGCAGACAGCACTATAATGGTTTGCAGCCTCTGTCTGCAGCATATCAAGTGTGATGAATCTACCAGTCATTTCAGTACCATATGCATGAGGAGCCACAAAGCCCTGTGGGAGGAGCCCATGAATGATACCAGTCAGCAGCAAAATCCTCTTCTTTCTTGCTCCTCCCTTTCCACCTCCTAATGCCACTATAGAATAATTTCTATCTACATCAGCTGCAACATCTGTGGTCTCAAACAATATGGATAGAAGTCTGAAGAGGGGTTTGAGAGGCATAGCTTACAGCAGTGGTTCTCAACTTGTGTAATCTCAGGACCCACATTTGTCCTTGGCCGTTAAGTCGCGACCCAAGTCGCACTGCAATGGAATGCACGGCATTGGGTACCGCGCGTTACGATGCGGGCGTGTGGGTGGGAGGTGCGTTTGGGGTACCCTTCAAATGAATGGCAATGCAACACACCTCCCACACCAGAATGCACGGTAGGTGAGATTGCATGGTACCGTGTGTTAATCGCACGGTAATAGTGTGAATGGGCCCTCAAAAACACTGACATACATGCACAACCACAGACACAATCTCACACACAGACAATGTAAAAACAAAATTTAAGATCCACCCAGTCTCCATACCTTCCGAGAACTGGAGAGGATCCTCAGCCTGGAGTCCAGCGTGGGCTGCTGTGCTGTGACGGAGCTCCATCCATATGTGCATTGCTTGTACACCGCCCTCTACAGGACACATGAGGGAGCTGTAAGCAATGCACGTATGGATGGAGCTCCCTCGTGCCCATACCCCCATGCCACCCCACCTCAAGCTGACACTCTGTGCCGGGCAGCCTATTTTGAATGGCCGTGTGGTGAGAGAACTGAAAGTGCTGCTCTAGGAGAAGGTTGAGGAGCCTCTCGCCTGGAAAAGTGGAAGGAATGCCCGCGACCCACTGAACACAGGGTCACGACCCACCAGTTGAGAACCAAGGCCTTACAGCATATCAAGCAGGGTAGAGGGTCAGCATACGACAAGACTCAGTAGAGCCATGTGTAGGCTTCAAGCATGCTCTAAGTCTTCTAACCCCACCCAGCCATCTCCAGCCAGCGCATTATGACCCTTGTTTTATGAGGTATTACATTGTTAGTTATGTTCTTGAATATTTATACTTTGTATTTATTTTAACACAGTGGGGTTGAATAGTATAGTGCGGCACCTAGCTTTTAAATAATGTTCAGTGTTTGCTGCATGCAAAATTATGCTCTTTGTCTTCTTTTTTTTGGGCCCATTCCAGCAATCCGTCAATAAAGAATATTCAACATATTAATTTAATTTAAATTATTTAATTTATTTGATTTGATTAATTTAACAATACATATTTAAACGTGAGAATACATTTATTTTGTCTTTGTTCTCAAAAGTTGCATGAGGTAAGTGTTTTATTCCGGCTTCCCAGAAATGTATTTTTATTTACGCCCATACAGTGTGTACCATATTCCCTACATTTTAATTTTAAAAATATAAACTTTCCTTTTTTGGACATTCCAAAGTTAAATGGGAATGTGATTTGGTGAATAAGGTCTAAAAGAAACTGTACAATTTGTATGTGTATGGTGTGTGTCATTTCTAGTGTAATCTGAAAAATAGAAATATTAACATTTTTGTATTCTTCCAAAGATAATAGGGGATGTGTTTTAGCCAATGTGGTTTACAACACACTGTAGAAACATAAGATATGGTGTGTGTGGCATATTACTTCAATTGGAATCTAAGAAATATAAATGTTTAACTTTTTTGGGGCCCTCCAAACATAAATGTGGTTTAGACAATAAGATCTAAAATAAATTATAGAAATATTATGTATACTGTGTGTAGCATACATTTTTTTATTGTAATTGTAAAAAAAAGTTATTGATTTGTTGCTCCAATGCTGAATGGGGATGCGGTTTGGACAATAAGGCCCATCATAATTGGTAGAAATAATACCTATACAGTGTAGGGATGCACCAATACCGTTTTTTCAGTATCGAGTACGAGTACCGATATTTTGCTTTCGGTACTCGCCAATACCGAGTACCGATACTGGTGCTTCCGCTGGCATGGATCCGGCTTCCAGGGCAATCCGGAAGCAGGGCGGTGAGTAATGACCCGCCTTCTGGCTTCCTGATTGGCCGGGAAGCCGGGTCCATGCTGATTGGCTGGAAAGCCAGCTTCAAAGCCAATCAACATGGTAGGGCCATGGGTTTGTTACTCGCCACCCAGCTTCCTGATTGCACAGGAAGCCGGGTACATGTTCCCCTATGGCACTACCATAGTTCCGGTATCGGGGAAGATATTGGAGCATTTGGGCGAGTACGAATACTCACCCAAATACTCGGTATCGGCACCGATACTGATACTACCATTGGTGTCGGTGCATCCCTAATGCAGTGTGCACACCATTCCTTCTTTTTATAGTGTAAAAAATACTCTTTATTGTGTATTTTTGACCTGAACAGATACATGCGCTGTCTCAAGTTTAAAATGCAGCCTATTCTAACAACTGAAATGTTGTCTGTGTAGTCTGGACAATATTCCTGTTTTCTTGCATGCTGTGTGTCCCTTAAACAGTGCTCCCGACTGATTCAATGCTGACGGTACAATATTTCTAACTGTTGTCTCTGACATAATCAACTGTAATTTTTTACTTCTTCATAAAAGGTGCCCCTTTTCTCTCTATATAAATTTGGCCTACCAAAAAGGATTCCATAATGTGCATGATTAAAGCTGATTTGTTTCTCCCTCTTCCATTGCTGTCCAATCAAGCTGCTTACATACTCCCCAAACACAGTGATATGTCTGGCTTTTGATATATTTTGGCTAAAATATGCCACTGTAATTTCTTCATAACAATGGCCTCTTAACAACAACTTGTCTCTGGAATGTGAGCTGGGGTTTTGAAGTGTTTTTGTGCCCATTTGATTACATTTTGTAGTAAATACAGTGTGGTACTGCACTATAAAAAGAACACAGGCTATGCTATGGAACATTTTTGCCACTGGCAGTTGTTATGAAATGCTGGGATTTAGATTTATTTTATTTTGAAGTGTAAACTTTTTAATAGCTTTTAGATCTGTTCTGTCTGCTACTTCAACCACCCAATTCTGGCCTATTACTGCTACATAAGAAATCATGTGTTGCAGCAACATCTACCTCAAAAAGCTCACTCAGAGCTGATTGAGCTACTCGAATGACTGTTAAAACATCTTCAACATTACAGGATAATTCCTATTCAATAGCACTTAATACTAATAGCAGGTTTCTGGCAGCACTTGTCATATCCGAGAACATATGTGTGGCAATGGGATCTCTTATTTGCAATAGGGATGAGTGTGCCCAGTTTTATTTTTCTTGGATAAATATCTGCTTCACGAATGGCCCCAAAGAGAATAATGCCAGTTGCATGGTGATGTGCTCTGACTCCTCCTGTACCACCTGCACCCAAATAGAGTAGCATAGGAATGTGGCAAGGGAGGATTGTTTACGTGCCCACTGAACTGCCCAAAGTTGCTAACCCTTGCCTCATTTCCTATTGTTTAATGAAGTATTTATGAATGACTCTCTTACATTCAGCCAAGTCTAACTTTAGAATTCTACTATAATAGCTAATATCTAAGTTAATATGGCATGCATACAGCACATGGTATAATAAGAATGGCTGAAACTTGGTTCAATGAAATGTGACTAAAAATAGGAGGAAAAGAGTGGCATTGTCACAAATTTCCATGTTATAAACAACTATTAGTTACACCTACTAATAGAGAGTACAAATGCTAGTTACTCTGCTGATTAATGGGACGTCTGTAGGCAGGATTTGCACTGTGCATCTGTACTATATTATTCCTAGCCATCATTGTTCTGTATATCTGGATTGGATCTATAAAATATGTACAATTTTCTTCAAGATTGTCCTCATTAATCGTCCAATAATAAAGAAAACTTGCAGAGTATAAAAAGGTACAGATGTAAATGTAATTTTTGCAAATTGTCAAGATTAATTCTTCCTCGAGCTAAGCCTGATATAAAAAGATAAATCTTTCTTAGGACTAACACTGACTTCTAATTTCAGTTGCCAAACAATAAAGAGAAACTTTGTACAATTATTATTATTATTGTAGTGTTGTATCCAGCCAATTCATTCTGATTAATGGATCTCATGCAGCACTAATTCATTTATTTAAAAGGCTTTTCGGTCAAGGGTTGCCTTTTTGCAGTACCTGACCTGATTGTTACTGAAAAATGTCTGCTTTTTAAGTAATTTAATCGTGGACATGCTACTGCGAATTTTGATTTAAGTTCTATTTTCTTCTCTCTCTGCTGCATTAGATTCCTCTGAATCATTCCCATATAAAACAGCAGAGAGCTGACCTCTGCTTTTTTTGATACAACAACAGCTCTGACCTCTGTTCTGTCCTCTGCACGTTATTTTGAGTGTAAGTCGAGTAAGTCCCTATCAGGCTCAAATTGTATAACAGCATGACTAATGGACTGGCATAGTTATTGCTATTAAAGTGCTCATTGGTTTCCTACAATATCATTATCATCATTATCTTGCTATCTGAACACAATAACATGCATCTCTGCCAAAGAAATGCGATTAAGGAGGTTCTAGGTCTATAAGTATTAACAGTTTCTTTTACGCTGATTACCTAGGATTAAACTACTTGGGTTATTTTTAATATCACAATGATGTAACTGCTTCCAGAGATTTTGTGTGCAAGGCACTGTATGATTCTAGTGCAGTTAAAGCATTTCAGTTTAATAAATCATCAAGAACGCACAATTTAAAAGTTATATAAATATAGTTTATTTATTAGTATTGGGGTTTTGTTTGTTAAAAAAAAAGGTAAAAATTAACTATTGCATATGTATATTGTACACTCATATCCACCCACAAGATGGTGATTTTTGCTGCTTTCCCAGGTTTTTCAGTTTCTCCTCACCTCTAGTTCTAAAAGGTCTGGTTTGCAGAACTCATCAGCTCAACACACAAGTGAATGAATCTGGGCAGTGACTAATTCCCCTTTCTCTTCTTTCCACCATATGGCTCAGTCTAAGGTTTCAGTCAGACAGAGGGAGCCTGATCGCAGGCAGATTTTGTTATACTCTCTAGCCTTAGTATACCCATAGTGCTCTGAGAATTACATATTTATTTGCTAAACAAAGATTGTAAATAAATTACAAAATAAAAAGAAAGTATTTTAAGTAGATTTTTTGTGTAGAATTAAATATGGAAATCCTCAGCTTAATTTATCTGAGCAATGTGAAGTTATGCTGTACAGGGAAACTGTCAGGTGGCTGATACTTGTCACAGTCAAGGCTCTTGATCAGATCTGGAGGCTGACATTGTACATCATGGTGTGTTTCTTACTTATTATTGTCACACAGCGGTTTTGCTTTCCTGATGCACCATAGTTTATTTTGAAAAATATGTACTTAATTAATACAATTTCTTTTAAAATATGTACTTACTAAGTATATTTTATTTTGCATATCACCATAACGAATACATCACTAACAGTCAGCCTTCAAAATGTTATGTCTGTACCCACCCCCTCAACTATATTCATACACATGTCCCCATATATCTTACAGAAGGACAAGAAATTTATAAAAGTATGTTTCTCTTTCTGAGAGGGTTTTACAAACATTTTAGTTTAATTACATTATTGGATCATGTTGGATATGTATATAGCTTATTATAGTTATTTGATTCCAAAAAATAATCACATATCCCTCTAAAGTCAGTTCATGTTCATAACATGAACTGACTTTATGTGAGGTAAACCTAAGAACTGCACACGTATATGCTTACTCCTGTGTCATATATACTGTATATCTGGAGAAGAACAATGGAGTCTGAGCACTGAAAAAATTGTAGGTAAATACAACTTAAAAACAGGTCCATGGTGTTCCTGTTAATTAAAAGGTCCCGGCTGGTGAACTTCTTTTAGTGATCAGGAGTTCCTCATTAGTATATCACCCAGTCAAGGAGTCTAATTCTAACTGAGCTAACAGAAGTCTCAATCGTTCTGATGAATTCTATGTAAGTAAAATAAATGATAATAACCCAATATGAGAGCTAGACACTCTTATAATACCCACATTAGAAGTTCTTGATAGATATGAGATGGCAGTATGTAATTTCACTAAGCAGATCCATATTAAATACCATTTACTAATTCCATTGCAAGTGTCTCTCGGGTCTATTTGTGCAAGCTTTGCACTTCAGTAGTCAGACCTTCCTGAAAAACTAAGGGAAGTTATTATTCTGATCATGCAGCACTTCAAGACCTGACACTAGCATAATATCCATCATATATTAAGTATTAAGTAACATCTCCATGGAACAGAAAAGGTATGCAGCTTATATATTAGATTCATCACAACATTATTTTATTCTGTGGAGATGTATTTTAACCTAGCACAGGGAATAAAGAAGGAAAATGTGTTTAACAATTAGTTTTGTGAGCTTTAGCTGACCACAAACAAAATATGGTGTTTAGAAGACCTCGGTAGAGCAACTGTGATATAAACATAAGCACTTGTTTCCACCGAGCAAGGATCTTTACATAGTGGGCAAACATCCCTGGCACAATTCCTATCCTGAAGAAACAATAGTTATTGGTCACAACAGTTCATCAATTGGTTAGCCTGGGGTTCATATGCAGTGGTCCGATAATTTCTATAGACATGACCATTTCTGGATCTGGCCACAACTGTCACGATGGAAGGACATATATCCAATAGCCTTGAGCATACGTAAAGACTGTGAGTCATGTGACACTTGTGGGCTACCCGGTAATAATAGCTATTTATTAACTATTAACTCTTGATCTGGCAGGCCTATGCCAGACTATCAGGCAAAGCATTCATGGAAATAAGAAGACTGCTCCTGTGACTTGCACTTTGCAATAAGAGAAACAGTTCTATTTAGCTAATGCTACTAGAAGTTCTCCTAAATGAGGTAAATATAGTTGTGATTGAAATAACATGTTTATTTACCTTCCTTGGTGCATAGAAGGGAAATTTTGCTTCTACTCTCACATGGTTGCCTAGAAAAAAAATGGAAAACTGTGATGATGATTGCAAAATGGTAACATCAGGGACAGGCATTAGGAAATACAAATGTAGTGTAAATTCGGATATAGTCAAAGAATTACATTGGGTTGAGGATTACATTGTGAGTACCCTCATTTTATTATGCTCCAGAAATTATTATGCGCCACTGATGAAAACATTTTTTTACTAGTTCAATTAGTAGTAATGGTTACTTAATTATTTACAAAAAGTATAAATACTTAAAGTGACATTAAAGTCAAAAAATGTTTCCCTCCCCCTAATGTTAATGTTAGCACTTACCTTAAATGATGTATCTTAATCCGATCTTCTTCTTCTTTCTTGATTTTTTCATCTGCCCCTCCAGCGGTACGGCGGCTCTCCGATCCAGTGCTGACTCCTCTGTCCTTGCAGGCACTTCCAATCCAGCGGTGTCTGCATGCGGGTGCACGCGTCCATAGACTTACCTTGCGTCTCTGCTCGTCTCCCTGGCCGAAAATCCGAACAACGCATGCGTCCGCCCCAGAATGTTTTGCGGCCGCCCGAGCAGTTTCGGATTCTCGGGCGGGAGCGCGCGGTGAAAACGGCGTAAGTTTAAACCGCCGTTAAAGCGTGTTTTTTAAAAAAAATTACTTTTTGCCTATATCTACTGCTTGCTAGCAGTAGATATAGGCAAAAAAAACGGAGGGTTTAGAAACTCTTTAAACGTATTAAAATTGTAACATCATTATCATCACACTCTCAGTACAAAATAACACGCCAAAACATGACCTTCTTTTATGTCAATAAAACTAAACTTAAAGTAAAATTCTACCGTTGTTGAAAATTTAGATAATATGTATAATTGTTATACTACCCAGTTTATAAACTAATGTTTTAAAAACTAGCTTATAGGTTTTTTTTTATAAAAAAGATGTTTCCACCAAGAGCTTGACCAACAATGTGTCCTGCTGTAAGCAGTGCAGACTAAAGCCTTGGCAGATAAATCTTTTACTTGGCTCATTTACTAGAGCAAGACAGCAATTATGATTAGGGGAGTTACCCGTCATCCGACTGCTGTCTTTCCTTGCCTAGAAAAATCATTGTGCAAAAGATTATGCTATTATGGTTAAGTATTTACTGTGTCAAATTAAATAATGCCTTTCAGTTAATCTCCAGCCAGGTATTTATTTTTTTAAACTGCCAAAAAAAATCTAATTTTGCCTCTTTGCAACCACTGCAACAGTTCCGTGTGCGCTGTCCCTAAGTTAAAGCGACCTTGCACCTAAAATGCAAAGTTTACTTTTTAATGTAGCCCCCCTTCCCCTTGCTACGATGCTGAGTTAGCGCAGGACTGCCTCTGCACTGCAAGGGTTAACAGCTTGTCTGGTCTGGGGAGTTAAAATAAAGAAGATATACTCACCTGATCCTTGGTCCCTAGACAAAAGGGGTAGGGGTAAGAGTAGCCCCACTGCAAGGGTTAACTTTTCAAATCCAGGAGTTCCTCTTTAAATTGTAAAAAGTCACCTTTTTGGGTAAAAATGTTAGATAATATACTCACCTTTCCCCCCAGCCTCTGCCTGCAGCACCTAGGCAAGGATAATGCATCCTCCTTCCAGCAAGATCAGAGAATGAACAGTAGTCCAAATCTTGCTGAGAAGATGCTCCCAGCACTGTGCTGCAGTGTCTTCTCGCTAGAGTTGGAGTACTCGGGATCTTAAGGACAGGAGGATGATGTCATTTCCTGTACAACAGAAGCTGGAGGAAAGATAAGAATAACATCTAACACAATCACCTAACCCTTTTGTGTATTAATGGGCATAGTGGGTGTTCCTGAATGACATGGCTGACTGAGAGACTTTTTTATACTGTAACTTTCAGTATCATCTTGGCATTCAGTCACATGACATATCAAAGTCACAAACAAAATTGGTGCTGGAAGAGTTCCCTCTGCCAAACACTATCATCGCAGGTCTGTATAGGGAGCAGGTAGCTATGTTATGCTACATGTGTAATTTACTGCTTTGATCGTTGTTCGAATTGTGAAGTATCTCTACTCAGGACTATCAGTCAACATATCTAACTGGTAGTCTTACCCTGCTAGGATATATTCTATCGCTCTAGCCAGCAGATCCTCCAACTTAACATTTGGCTTGCACTTTGGTTTGGTTTGGTTTGCAGAGGTTAAGACAAACCCTTGGATGCTTGCTAAAATCCTTGCAATGTATACAGCTGACCTAAAAATGTTTTTGGTTTTTGTGATTAAAGTAGAGCTTCACCTTAACAAATCTAGAAAATTGTATGAATATTTTAAACATTGTTTGAATTTGGACTTTAATTAGAGAACAATCAATATAAGAAATAGGATTACAGAAATAATATCCAAACCACACTTGCAATGCAGAAAACTGTGAAATACAAGTGGCAAGACATAAACAACACTGATATTGCAAAAGAACACAATATTGAAAATCAGAATCCTAAAGAGAATTGTTGTGCTTTTCAGTGTTAGGTGGAATCAAAATTGATAATGAACTCTTTCACTCTCCACACTGCTGCAGTCTTTAGTAGTTTGCATTTCTTTATGCTTTCAAAGTCACATTAATAAACTGGTTTTGGAACTGGTTTTGCTAAATCACAAAGAAGCTCAATTGAGCTGCCAACATAACAATAATTAGGTACAGTACAAAAGTCTACTTTACTCCAAGAAATGCATGTTGAGCATATTGTATAATGTAATATAAAACAGATCTACAAATGTGTCCCATCTTAAGTTAATTTCTAATATTTCACTTGGCAGCATTCAGACCCCATTAAAATCAACAAACTTATTCTAATTATGAATCCTACAATAAACAAAAATATTGCCCATGTTTAATTGATGCAATAATAGTATTGTAGTATTGTAATAATAATTACGGTAGTACAGCCAATTTAATTGTGTAGTTGTGTGTATTTGGGATCATAGCAAATTATGATTTTTAAGATGTCACAATATCATTTGTAC